GGATTGGCTAGCTTCACTTAGCATAATCTACTGTTTTTGCTTCTATTTACCTCCAACATTTCCATACTGATATTTGGGGGTTTGTTGGTTTGCTTGTTTGTTTGGTACTAAGGATTGATCCAGGGTGCTTAACCAGTAAACYGCATCCCCAGCTCTTTTTATTTTTTATTTTGAAACAGGRTCTCACTAAGTTGCCTAGAACCTAACTAAGTTGCTGAGGCTRGCTTTGAATTTGAAATCTTCCTGACTCTGCCTCCCAAGCTGCTGGGATTTCAGGTGTGCACCATAGTGCCTGGCTCAGGTGAGTTTCTTAATGACAGCATATAGTTGAATCATGTTTTATAATACAATCTGCCAATCTCTCTTGGTTACCACTCACATTTAATATAAGTATTGATATATTATGGCTTAAGCCTGTCATTTTATTTTTTGTTTTTGTTTTATGTTTGTTCTCCCAGTTTATCATTTGTTTTCTTTGTACTCTCTTCCTAGAGGTTACTTGAACACTTTTTGAGTTCCATTAGGTTTATATATATTGGTTTTATTCTTTTTTTTAATTTAATTAGATCTCTATGGTTATACATAGTAGTTGGGTTTTTCCAACAAACTCAGACATGCATGGAAATTGATTTCAGTTCATGATCACAACTTTTTCCTTCCTTTTTCCCCCTCCTGTCCTACCCTCTTCTCCTTCCTCTACTAGACTTCCCTTCTCTCATCTATTAATTTGTATTTGATCAATTCTTTATGTAATCTTATCCTTCCCTCCCCCTTCTCTTTACTCTAGCTTCTATACATGATCTATATTTTCTGTATATTGTTTTTCAATGAATCTCTTAGTGTAGTTTTTTGTTTGCTGTTCCAGGTATTTTTTTATGTAAAAAAAAACCGCATGCTTCTGCTGACACCATGGGATAAGAGGTGCTCTCATTCCACTGAGTGGAGAGGAAAGTCCTGACTCTAGGTTTCCTCTGAGACACAGGTGAGAAATTCCTTGTTAAAGACTGGTGACAGTGGTAGTCTGCTGGCATAGGTAGAAGTGAGATCACAGTTTTTCTATGCTGTTTGCTTGAAGCAGAGTAGTTTCTAAAAGGTTTCTGTCTTGCTAGGTTGCCCCTTTCCATTTCTTAGAACTTTGACTAGAGAAAACAGTGGTTTGGGGGGTTTTCTTTGTTTGTTTTTTGCTCTGTACTTATTGGTGTTTCTAGATTTTTGGCCTATTAAGCTCCAACTCCAGGATATTCGAGACAAAAAGAAAACCCAAAGAACTTGGCATTTTGATGTTCCTTGGGTCCTGAGGTTTCTAGTATATCTGACTTCTTCATTCTACCTTCCATAAATCTTCTATGTCATCTTATATACATTATCTACAGCTTTTTGTTGTACTTGCAAGAAGGAATCAGGGAAACAATATCTACTCCAGTTTCCAATAAGCAAAAGTGCTTCTTATAAAGAAATAAACCATTGGCACGGGTATTTTGAGAAGGCAAAGCACCAGCCAGCCAATATATTGTCAGGTAAATAATATACAAGTAATTACAAAATTAAAATTGAATCTGTATATTCTAATAGCTGGCATCAAGAAATTAGTTTTGGGGGGTGCTGGGGTTGTGCCTCAGTGGTAGAGCACTTGCCTGGCATGTGTGAGGCACTGGGTTCGATTCTCAGCACCACATCTAAATAAATAAATTTTAGAAAAGGAGCCATTGATGCCAAAAAAGAAAATAAATTGGTTTTGTGTTTAAGGCAAAGAGGAGTTTTCTTGTAATGTACAAAGGTTTCCTTTAATAATTCAAAAACTTGTTGAATTCTAATTTTGGTATCATGAATGTTGTTACATAAGAGTACATTGGTATCAGCTTACTCATAAATRCTTATATTCGTGGCAGGTTATAAAGCAGTTCTCAGTTTAAATTCTTCTACAGATATAAGCATTTACTAGCAGCTAACACAAAAGCAAACTGATTTCTTGGACATAGTCCCAGACTCTGCCTTTTTAAGTGTTGTGTCTACAGTTTGCATTAAATTTTTCAAGAAAAAAACATGAAGTCTAGAGATAAAATTCATTTGGCTTCTCAGTATCAGTTGACCAGAATCTTCTGTGGGAATGAAAGACCATATAATATTCAAACCTGAAAAGTAATATTGTGTGTGAAGGGAGATGGGCTCCCTAGCTGCTTCTACMCTTTCATACAGGGTGGGAGAGTATTTCTAAAATATTTCTGAGAATCTTAATCAATATATCTTAGACACCAGTAACTTCAGGAATGAAACTATTTCTAAAAGCCATTGTATGAAATATCAAACCATTAATTTCATCCCACTTATAACATTAACAAAATATCTAGTTCCAGAAATAACTTCAAGAAATCTATTGTACATCATGGTTACAATAGTTAATATAATATGCTGTATACAAAAAAATTTCTAAAAGAGCATATTTTAAATGTCACTACAAAAAGTAGTATGTGATGTAATACTTATGTTAATTTGCTTAATTTAGCCATTTCACAATGTCTACATCTATGAAAGCTTCATGTTGTATACCACAAACATATAATTTTTATTTGTGAATTTAAAAAATAAAAAATAGTGTCACTTTGGCAGCACATATACTAATTGCAATGATACATGGAAAATTATCATGAACCCTGAGTAAGAATAACACAMAAATTTGTGAAGTGTTCTATATTTTAATAATAATAATAATAATGTTAACATGTCTAGTCTCATTATGATAAGATAAAGATGACTGGTTGCCCATAGAGTCTGTCTTTTGGTTAATCATAAACTAATGATCCCATAGAAACAGGCATTCCAGTTAGGTGAAATGACTACCCAAGTTTGTGTGGAGTCCAAGTAATTCATACACACACACATTACATTGCACCATCTATGTGGAAATATTTAAAATACACTCTAGACTACAAAAAGCTTTCCTTATGTTAGATAAATTATCCCTATTTKCAGTAACCTACTTGGAAGTTACAGCTTATTTACATGATGAACCATACATCTCCATACACACACCAAAAATTATGAAGCACATTACTATTATATTTTTTACTGAAAAAACTAAGATGATGTTTCTTCTTCTTTTCTCATTTTCATGAACACATCCACTTGCATCACCGCACACATCATAGAGACTACTGATTCAGTCTCTGAGGGTTAAAGACAAGAAGAAGAGGAGGAAGGCAGAAGTAAACAAAACCTTTTGCCCTTCCTCCAGAAGTGGAGCAACTAACTGGTAACCACCCTGTGTTATAGTCTGGTCTTATAAACCCCTGGTTTTAGACTCCTGAAAGTGATTGCTTTTTAAAGTTTATATTAGAGTAGAATAAACAACATTCTTTAGAAAGGCTATTTTCAGATTTTTTTAAATTTTATTATAGTAGAATAGAGGAAGARGGTGTTAAAATTCACCCCTCAGCCTACCACTATCACAGCCCCTCCCCCAGGAGCTGCAGAGTGAACATTTGTGTCCCCAAAATTCCATGTGTTGAAACCTAAAACCTAATCATCAGATATATGTAAAACCACACCTTTGTCTTTAAAACAAAACAAGTGTACCTAATTCCATGTGTTGAAACCTAATGATATTAGAAATTGGGGCTTTGGGGAAGCAATTAGGTCATGAGCCCTCATCAATGAGATTAGTGCCCTTATAAATGACACTGCAAAGAGCTGCCTSACCCCTTCAGACATATGAAGTACAGTGAGAAGACACCAAATCTGTTGGTGCCTTTGATCTGGGACTTCTCAGCTTTCAAAACTGTGAGCAATCAATTTCTGTTGTTCATAACCCACCCAGTTTATGGTATTTTCTTATACAAGCCCAAAAAGACAAAGACACTGGAGTGTGGTCCTCAAAATGTGGATGTCCAAGCTCAGTTGGTAGAGTGTTTGCCTCACATGCACAAGGCCCTGAGTTCAATCCCCAGTATCACACACACAMAAAAAAAGTGGATGTCCCAGCTTATTGAATCAGAATTTGGATTTAAGCCCTAGAAGCAGTATATTTAACAATCACCTAGAAAATTTTAGAGAACTCTGTCTTCAGGCCTTAGAGAACAGTTTGAAAACCATTGTGTGAAATAGTAAACTAACAATTTACATAACACAAAAAAATTCAGATGTTTTTGAGAAATATTAAGTAAAAATAGAAGAGCCAAAAGCCGTTGTGTTGAATAATAATTTAAGGCAGCCACCACTGGGCATATCCCTGGAGTCCAGAACAGGAATGTACACACACACACACACACACACACACACACACACACACATACACAAACAAGGTCAGGGGTGCTTCTTATAGCTTTTGTTTCACTGAATTAAGAAGTGGATAGTAAAATAAGATATGGTGTGATATTTTTCCTTTCAAACTCCTTTCTTTATGAAATAACCTTATTTCCTTATAGAGTAAATTCAAGGACTTACTGAAACATCTTACTATGGAAACCTGGCATTTAAAGAGAAATCTGTTAGTCAAGCAATGTCATTAATAAAAGGTGTTCTGAAGTTGACACCAATTATTTAATTGATCAGCACCATCAGCTAACATTGATCACTGCTGAGACTTAGGTAGCATTCCAATCAGAGCACAGAAAGGAGGGTGTTTGGAATGCATGTGCTGTGTAAAGTCAATTATATGTAAACAACACCTTTGTCTTTAAAACAAAACAAGTGTACCTGATGAGCCTTCATAAGCTAAAATATTGTAAGCAGGAAATGGTAATATTAAAAACTGCCTTAACATGAACTGGTTGGTTACGTTTTCAATAGATTTTCCTCCTCCTTGAATTGCTTTTCCTATATGTAGGAATTTCACTTTGAGGCACATAAAAACAGCAATATTTGGCCATTCTTTTAATATTCTTAAAACAAACACAATGTCCAAGAAAGTAATAAATTTTAAAATACATATTTCCAAATGATATTTAATATCATGGTGAAAAGTTCTTGACAGCCAGGCACAGTGGTGCACACCTGTAATCCCAGCGGCTAGGGAGACTGAGGCAAGAGGATTGTGAGTTCAAAGCCAGCCTCAGCAACAGCAAGGCACTAAGTAATTCAATGAGACACTGTCTCTAAATAAAATACAAAATAGAGCTGGGGATGTGGCTCAGTGATCTAGCACCCCTGAGTTCAATCCCCAGTACAAAAAAAAAAAAAAAAAGAAGTTCTTGACAGAATGTTAAGTTTTTAACAAGGGTATGAAACTATATTTTTAATTGCAGTATAATGAGTTCACCAATTTTGTAAACATGAGCAAATTAAGAGAGAATTTTTTTWAAATGGAGGAAAATATACCAAAAATGTAAATAATACTTAACTCGGGGTTTAAGAGTAGTTTTTGTTTGTTTGTGGTGCTGGAGATTGAACCCAGGGCCTTGTACTTGCAAGACAAGCACTCTACCAACTGAGCTATATCTCCAGCCCAAGAGTGATTTTGTTTTTATACAGTTTGTTTGTTTTTAAAATGRTCTACAATAAATGTGTATTCATTTTATTGTTGGGAAAAAAAATGAACTTTTAAAGTGACTAAGCTTCCATTTCCTTAAAATAATTCTAAGATCCTTTCTACTTGCATGATTTCATGTCCTGTTCAGCAACAAAACTAATCCTAATCCATTTCAAAATTTCCTTCAAGCMCAAAGACATTGACCCCCAAAACAATGATAATTGAAGTTTACTTAATGTTCCATGATTCTAAGGGCTGGGAACATAAGGCAGTGGTAGATTTCTTACCTAGCATGCACAAAGTCCTGTGTTTGATCCTCAGTGTTGCCAAAAGAAAAAAAAATTCTGATTCTAGAAATATATATCATACATAAAGATGTACAAAAATAAGAAATTTTTCCATGTACTGGTGTGTCTGCCTTTTTGCATTTGCATTCTATTGTACTAATTTTAGGTTTCACAGAGGAATATTTCAAATACCAACTACTGAGACTTCACCTGTTGGAGAGGCATTGCTTGGGGATATTAATCAYACATATATCCTGTTCCTAATTAAGGAGGGAGATTGTCATATGTCATTGAAGACCACATAACAGACAGTTGCTTCTATAATGTCAGCTCTTGCTTCATCCAAAATGTAGCCTAGAAAACATTTGTGAGGATAAGATGAGGTTATATATACCATTACCCTGGGGCTAAGGATCATCACCAGGCACATCTGTATAAGACATAAAATCTTTACCCTCAAGTTATTCCAGTGGCATACAGAGTGAGGAGAGAGTTTGGGATTCAGGAGGRGAAATGGAAGAGAATTTGGGCTCCAGAAATACAATACAGGAGATGTGGGAATGGAAATTTTGTTGGGACAGAAGATACACCCTGTCTTAAAGCTGTACTCAAACATTCCTGGGTTAAAATACAAATTATCTCACTTACTGCCCCTATAGTCATTGATCAATCACACAACTCCTTTAAACCTACTTTATTTGCAAGAGGAGAATTAAAATATYCAATATGAATAGAATGACTATGAGAATTACATGAAGAAATATATGCAAATTATTGGGTCACAAGTCTTTGGATTCACCATTCTTCTCATTCTTCTCTGCTCCATCTGTGAAGAAGTGTTTAAGGCATTCGGGTCATAACAAACATTGGGTTCCATGGGCTCAGTCTGGACAACAAAAAGGACAAAAGTCAATCACAAATCCTTTAACACTTTTTTCCAACTACGGGTCATGACCCAATAGTGAGGTGTACATTAATTTAGTGCACTGTGTTCAGGATTTCTTTTAAGTTAAACAGAATGGAATTYATTAGAGTTACCAAATGTGGTAAAGGTAAATTTCACAGATCTCTTGCTTTGGTTTCATACATATACATATATAAGTATATATTGGTATATGTAAACTGGGTCAAGATATAGAGTACATGTATTTCCTACTGTGGATCAAGAACAAAAATTTTTGAAAACTATTTTTTTTTAGAGAAATCCAGGTTACAAAGTTTCCATCCAGAAGCCTTAAACTAGCATCATTCCTTGAACTTCCCAGATACAAGAGCCGATAAATTCCTTTTGTGTTTAAACAACAACAATAACAAAAGTTTCCATCTAAATGTTCATATCACAATATTCCAGAGTTTGAATGGATTAGCAATCCATTCTTCACCTTCCCTCTTCTTTCTCTCCTCACACCCTGTCTTACTTACACACACACACACACACACACACACACACACACCTTTCCTTCTGATGGTAAGGTTATGAGGACCAGAATTCACATGTGAGTGAGAGGATCCAGGGACAGACAGTGCCCTGGGTCCACTGACACACACTGGTTCCACTGTAGAGATTCACTTACAGTTCACCAGTGACCTGATGAACAACCTTGGGTTTATATGTGTATCTTGGACAGAGGGAACATGTTGCCGGAATTGGTGCTAAGAACTGGGGCCTCATGAATAGTATTTGCTCAGTGAATGTAACCTGAATATGTTGAGCTGTTTTTATATTTAGTACTTCCTAGTTTATTTAGTGTTAAGAATATTTAGTACTTGGGGCCTCATGAATATTAGGCATTTTGGGACCTTTTATCCCTTCCTGTATTTCTCCTACACATGAACTATTTACTTATTGGCTATCTACACCTAACATACTCAAAATGTTTTCACCTGTAGTTTACAAACCTATCTTCTATAATAAAATGAAATATTCTCAAAAGCAAATGCATAT